ATTTATTTATTATGTATACAATATTCTGTCTGTATGCATGTCTGCTGGCCAGAAGAGGACACCAGACCTCTTTACAGATGGTTGTGAGCCACCATGTGGTTGCCGGGAATTGAACTCAGGACCTCTGGAAGAGTAGGCAGTGCTCTTAACCACTGAGCCATCTCTCCAGCCCACCTTCAGTTGTTTTTAACATGGAGCTGCTAGGTCATCTTTGTGAAGTATAGTCATAAATAGAACAAACTGTCCCAGAATCTGCTTATGCTTGGTGTGACCCTGGGAATTCATTCCATGTATTTGCTTGTTTTCTCTCAGATGGAGTTTGATGAGAAAGATCTACGGCGAGAGATCAGCTATGCTATTAAGAACATCCATGGAGTCAGGCAAGTTACATGGGAAGTTCCCATGTTCTCCTCCCCTCGACCCATGTGGGCCCCTCAACCTTCTGAGTCTCTGGTAGTGAGACCTTGACAAGGTTCATGGGTAGTTTTCAGCACTATTTAAACATCTTGGTCTCCAAGGACAGAGAGAGTATATGTGTTGCCTCTGTATTCTATTCTGGGTCTCTTAGCTACTTTGTCCTCTGGATGAAATGCATAGATTAGTGTGACCTTATTCCCTGTGAAATCTGTAGTGATCAGAGGCTGGGTGGGAAGAGAATTGAGTTGTGTTCATGGGAACCCGAATCTTGTTTGATCATGGGTCACTTGTGAGCCTCTTAGTGTCCCATCCGTAATTACAATCAATGAAGTGTACCCAGTTCTCTCGCCTCTCAAGATTCTTGAGTTACTGTGAGGGCTCCCTAACCAGGGACTCTCGGCCATCCCAACCAGCTTTGATGGAATGACCTTCCTCATCAGGGAACCTAGCCATGCTTAGAAAGTGGCTGACTGCCCTTTGTTTCTCTCTGACTTATCTTTCCCTGCTTCCCCACTGGGTCCGGACCTTTTTAGAACTGGGCTCTTCACGCCGGACTTGGCGTTCGAGGCCATTGTGAAAAAGCAGGTGGTCAAGCTGAAAGAGCCCTGTCTGAAATGCGTGGACCTGGTTATCCAGGAGCTTATCAGTACAGTTAGGCAATGCACCAGCAAGGTACCGCACCCGCGGATATGGGGCCGCAGGCTTGGTATCAGGCCCCAGGTTACCTCATTTCCAAGAATTCTGAAGGGATGGGAATGTGTCAGTCTGGACCCACTCAGGAGGGGGTGGGGGAACACTGGGCTTCTGAGTACCAGCTAGAGGGTAACAGGCCTCCTGGGACCCTGATACCAAGCCCAGCATGCATCTGGTGGAATGGGGGTATCATCTGGCTGTATTGCTTTGCTGCTTGCTAGGGAAGCAGATCGGGGCTTTCTGCTTGAGCTTTGGAGGCCAAGACCCCTGAAATTCCCCTGCTATCCCCCTTGACAAATGACAAATGCCTGGCTTCTCTGGAACGAGTCACTTCTCTGTCCCCCTGGCACTGGAAAGAACACAAAACTGATGGTGTAATGAGAGTTCAGTGCCCAGCTTCACAAAGCTACTTTGGCTCCTCAGTGGCCCTACCAGCTCTTGCTGTGCCCTGTGGTGTCTTTGTTTCATCTCCACCCCTCCCAGGTAAACTCTATGCTCAGTCTTCCTGGTCCTGAAGACCTATATCCCACTCTTCATGGGCAACTGTCTCCATTCCAACCAACCTGCCAGGCTCCTCTGAGAGGGCTAGTTCTCAGGACAGTACACTCCTGACAAGCAGCTGAAGTGCTTAGCTGGGAAGAGAGGGCATCTGCTTGCAGGATCAATATCCCCAGCTCTCTGAAATGGCAAAGAATTTCTGCTTGAGCTGCCTGTTCTACTGGAGCAAAGTCCCCGTGTACTTCCTCAGCTTCTCCAGTTGGAAAACAGAGCAAAAGGAAAAAACAAGACAAAAAAAAAAAAAAAAAAAAAGCCAGGCAAGGGGGTAGGGTGAGTTTGTAGAGTGCTTGCCTGGCGTGCACGAAGCTCAGGGTTCCATCCTTGGCATCATATAGACTAGATATGGTGGCTCATATCTGTGATCCTAGTACTCAGGAGTTGGAAGTAGGAAGATCCAAAGTTTAAAGTCATCCTTAATTGTATGGCAAGTTGGAGGTTAGCATGTACTGCGTGGGACTGTTTGAAAAATCAGAACCTAGCGTGGCTGCTGACTGTCACCCTGGGAGCCACTGTCACTGATGTGACCATTTGAGATGTGCTCACATACCTCTGTCCCTATGATGACAGTGTCCTGTAGACCGGCTCTGCTCTCCCAGGCCTGTTGATTCCAAGCAGCTTCCAAGACATACATGGGTGTAGGCTTTTCTGCGCATGCACTAACTGGCTCATTCTTGTTTCTTCTCTCTCTCTCTCTCTCTCTCTCTCTCCATCTCTTGTCCTGTGTGTGCATTTGTGCGTGTGGCCTGCACTACCCCTGGGTGTCTCTCAACCTCGTCCCGCCCTTCTCCACACGACCCAGGACGGGGCTCTTCACCCCCGACATGGCCTTTGAAGCCATCGTGAAAAAACAGCTTGTAAAACTCAAAGAGCCAAGTTTGAAGTGTGTTGACCTGGTGGTGTCGGAGCTAGCCACGGTCATTAAAAAGTGTGCTGAGAAGGTAACAGGCCTTGCTCCTCCTGTCCCTCATCAGTTCCCACCTCATCATTTCTTCACTGGCATCAGCCCTGAGCATCTGGACAGTCCTGCTGGAGGGAACCCTTGCTAAGCACACTTGTCACCATCCCCACCTTTTCAGTTCTAGGGTCCAATGGAGTTACCTTTGGCATGTCCAAGCACAGTCCCATTTGTGAAGCAGTTCCTATTCCTAGGTCCCACCCCCTTGCCCTAACATGAGCACCTGCATGTTCCTGCCTTATGGTGCATTAGCAGCATCTCTCACCAACTGGGGCTCAGATCATTCACTATCCCAGAAGGGGATTTGAGGGTTGCCCATATGGGTGCCAAATTCATAGTGATCAGGGGACAGTTTCCAGCAAAGGGTTCCCTGAGCTCGATGGCCCAGATGCTGTCTCTGTTATCCTGGAGCAGGGCACCATGCTCATTTGAATGCTCAGTGAGGGCCATCAGTTTGTCCTACCTGCACTTAATGCTGGGCGGGAGGGGGATGTCTGGCACCTCTGGGTGACAAAAGCATGTCACTCATTTCTCTGCCACTTTTCACCTCCCTTTGCTGGCTTTGCAAAGCGGCTCTCAGCATGCACTGCCACCCTCTCCCCTTTTTCACTCCACTTGCCCCTGACTGGCCTGCTCTTGTCTCTCAGCTGAGAAGCTGGGAGACAAGAGCAAAGCGGGGACCTGGTGGCCCCTCATTTCTTTCCCTGTTCATCCTTGCACTTGCACTCGGTTTGTTTCTCTCTGGCCTGGCCATGAAGACCTTGCCAGCTCAGCCCTTCTACTTGTCCCCCAGCTCAGTTCCTACCCCCGGTTGCGAGAGGAGACAGAGCGAATTGTCACCACCTATATCAGGGAGCGAGAGGGGAGAACCAAGGACCAGGTAATGTACCAATTTACTCTTTCCTTTTCCTCATCTGTTCACGTGTTGGAAAATTGAGAGTATAGTTCTGTGAGGTTGTTTTTTTATTAGAATTATTCATTTCAAATGAGTTTTCCACAACATGCATGTGGAGGCCAGAGGACATCTCCAAGAAGTTGGGCTCCTTCTCTCTTTATGTAGAAGTTTGGGGGGGTCAAATGTAGGTCACCAGACTTACAAGGCAAGCCTCTTCACTTGCTGAACCATCTTACCAGCCCCAAAGATGCATTCCAAGGCTAGACCATGACTCTGTTGGTGTAGCACTTGCCTAGCACCCTGGAAGCAGGTTGTGATTGTGCACGGTTGTCATCCTACCACTTGGAAGCTGGAGGCAGGAGGATCAGAAACTGACACTGAATTCAAGCCCACCAGTCTGGGCTGCACGAGATTTTGTGTCTCACACTCCCACCTAAAAAAGATTCATCAGAGGGGGAGGGAAATGGGAGGCGGTGGTGGGGAGGAGGCGGAAATCTTTTTTTTTTTTTTTATCCGCCTTCTCCCAGCCTCCCATTTCCCTCCCCCTCCTCCCGCCCCTCTCACCTTCCCCCAACTCCTCTCCAGAGCAGTCAGGGTTCCCTGCCCTGTGGAAAGTCCAAGGTCCTCCCTCCCTCCACCCAGGTCTAGGAAGGTGAACATCCAAACTGGCTAGGCTCCCACAAAGCCAGAACATGAAGTAGGATCAAAACCCCGTGCCATTGTCCTTGGCTTCTCATCAGCCCTCATTGTCTGCCATCTTTAA